AAAATTTTTAGTTTTTCATATTACCCCAACATTTCGCTTTCCGATACTGAAAACCGCACCTTTTTAGCTGCTTCTTAGAAAAAGTTATCAAAGAAATGGCCGTGCTTCTTCTTTTTTGAAATGGATAATAGTTTGAAATGATTTACGCATGAATTATTAACACATCAATAGAGAATCACGGCACATCATGACATGTAGATTAAACAAGATTTTTTTATAGTAATAGTGCACAATAAGATTCTTTTCCTTTTTCTCCTTGACAAAGAACATTCTAGTGAAGTGAGCACACACTTTATAAAAAGAAAGTTTCACGTCTCTTGAGATTATACATTTTACACACTCATATTCCACGTTTTCTGCTTCGCTTAGATCAAAAATGTCCCATCACTTTGGTACGTATATAGCTTTGTAGGGTGAACTTATATAACGATGAGACTGGCGAATGACATTACCGCGAACGACGTTACCGGTGATATCGCTCGTGGTAACGTCGTTCGCGGTAATGCCGGTGCATCCAAAAAATATCGGACTGCTTTCTATTTTGAAACAGATACTAGTTTTTAAGTTTTTCGAATTTAATTTTTGCAAAACTAGTGTCGAATATTTAGTCTTCAGCTTTGTAATGATACATGTTGTGAGATTGCATCTTAAAATGTTAACCAGACTTTTCTCTTCAATTTAAGATGCGCGCGATACTCTACGACAGCACAGGTTAGGTATTTTAGGCAAACAAAATGATGAAAAACCGTTACGGAATTCTGTTACGGTAGCAGAGTTAGCTAGCCACGCCGAGTAGCAGATCGGCTATAATACAGTGCTTGTCGTACAACGCGTGTAAAATCATTAAAAAATAGCAAAAAGCTCGCCAACGTCTTATTTTGTAGGGAAAATGTTTGCTCTGCATCTTTAATGACTCCAGAACATGTGTAAGTCCAAATGCTTGAGATTTGTATCAAAATTTAGAAAAGTAAGAAAATTATGAAACTGATGCCTATCTGCAATATTTGATTTAAAAGTACATCATACTGGTGTTTTGAAATGCAAGATTGCCTGCTCTACAAATTGAGGTAATAGTTTTCTATTATTTAGTCGTGGATAGTTAGGCATATTATTATGTCTAAATACGTGATCTGATAGAGTAAACATCTTTTTTTCAAATGAGCTATGAATCAATCACAAGACCCTTTTGAGAAAATCAGAAAATACGAAAATTTGTAAAAATTCAAAGAGTGATGCTCAGTACAGTGTTTGGCTTCTAGCTTTTTAAAAAACACGTTCAGAAAGAGTTATTACCGTGTTAGTGGTTATTTTGTATGCTCTTTCGGATGTTTAAATGAATTATTTAAAATGCCTTCCTCCACCTTGTTTAGAAAAAGCTTTAAAACAAACCATCTAGCGAAAATACAATTCGTATTAGGCCATATTATCTCGCTTTTAAGTTATATAGATTGAAAGACCGGCAACAAGTTACATGTGTGGAAGGCATGTTGCTAAATGTCAATGACAAACTAAACGTTGTTTAGTAGGTGTGATATGTTGTTGAACCATGTTTTTAAAATACATATGCATCGCTTGCTGGAAAAGCTCTTGTGCCTGTGTGAGTGGTAATTGATAATGTGGAATCTGTTTACGTAAATAAGCACATACATAGCCGGCAGCAATATGGTACTCATATTCAAGTATAATACGTAAAAAATTCAATTGATTTTGATAGAGATAGGTTGATGCTATTGGTTTGTTAAGACTATCGAACGTTGATGCTAATTTGTAAACATTCGATAAACGAGGGAGATGCACACCGTTTTGACGATATATTTGAAGCATTTGGTCAAGTTTCTCTTGTCCAACAATGAAACCACCATAATCAATGATTTTTATTGCACCTTTCAAAGGAGAGTAAAGTGTGCTTAATACAGTTAGAACTGATACCAATGAAAAGTGAAGTTACCGGTATGCACATTAAACATAACATTTCTTAAATGTAAATCATTGTAATAGATTAAATCATCATCCATATTACACGCAGTTGCAATTAAATTACAAAATATTTTCAAGAGCATATCGCTCGATGGCATTAAATATTTTGACAGTGCGTCGTATATCAAAAACCACTCATTCCGATTCAGATATTCGTATACAACAAACATGTTGAATGTAGGAGGCAGTAACACATCTGTAAATAAAGAAATATGAAAGTGCAATAAAATTCGTGTATGGCATAAGAATGGTGGTTGGATAATTTATCTATCCGATTCTAATTGATCGAATATCTTTGGATGGAGAGAACGAGGATCTCATAAATCTGAAAGAACACGCTATACATCAACCTTTTTCCTATATGATCGGGATAGATTGTGTCATAGCATGGCATTACAATAAACGAGAAATTCAAATTTTGAGTGTCAAATTTTAATATACACAGAACTCGCCGTGTGTACGTTTTGTATACTGTATATATTTCAACTTCATCCTAGGTAGGTCAGGTTATGTGGAAATTGTAATTCTTACTGTGAGAATAGCCCAGGGCGAAGAATACTGAAATATGAACCTCTAAGATCACGTTACAAGACACCATAAGAGCTAAGATTTCAGAAGAATCTTCGTTCAAGAATCTTACAAGATTTCACAAGATTTTGGTGACGGCGGGAGGGAGGAATAGCATGAGAGTGGGCCACGACACAAACTTTTTAATACTGCTTCTCGCTGCTTTCCTACGAATAAGCATCTTCTGAGAATATATTTCGTTCCAAGGTTTTGATAGGCCCGAAACCCCAGATTTCCACATAATTTGACTTGACCTAACCTTCGTTGAAGTCGAAATATATACATGGATAGATGATGCATGTGCATTTGGAGGGATAGGAACCTGATAATACACCAACGGTAAGATAGTTGCTAAGAACTTTGCATTTCCAAAATCGGAGCGTGCCATGCACTCGTTTGTGTTGGAAATGGTATTAAACGACATCTAAGCGTCGATAGTGAAGCGATCTCATACTTTTCAAAATTTTGACTGATTGTTATATGAGACTAACTTATTGACACATATCACGCACATCTACCCTTTCTCGTCTTCCACAACCAATTACAGTTTATAGTCATTTATTTCAATATTACTTGGAAGACAAGGTTGGCGAAAAGCCGCTCAAATGTCGGGTGTTAGGTAAAAGATACGGACGTACCCGTGTAATATCTGGCGATAACATGACCATAGCCTAAAACATCCAGCAATCTTGGCATATATGTATCAATAATCATGAGAACTTCGGTTTGTAAATCACAGCGCAATTGTTGTTGTGGTTGTAATGTTACCATGAATCCTGCTTGTGTATCATGATAACCCCGAGGTATCACTAAATATCTTGCTAGTTGCGGATTAAGATCGTAGCCTGGTGGTTCTAATGTTTTTCGAAGACAAGTAGCGTAAGTTGAGCCGGTATTATGGTAGTTTGGCTTCGTCAACCAATAATCGGGAATATTTTTAACAACAATGGGAATCATCGAAGGTGCCAAGAAATCCTGAAATATTAATACTCCATTGTTTTTATAAATTATACGTTCGGTGGTAATTATATTATCTAGAGGTAAGACTATTTGATTAGAACGAAGTAAATTGACGAGGTTTTCTGGTATAATCATTCCGTCGGTTATGGCTGCTGATGACTAGAAAACAGTTTCAAAAAAGATTCTGTTAAAAGCATATCTGCGACGATAACATCTGATCAGGTTTCTATTCCAAGATAAAAGAATGCAAAGGAAGTTGTCATACTGAAGTATTATTTTGAAATTCTAATAGCCAAATTTCTCAAACGAAAAACTCTTGACTGAAACATACATAAGATCAGAAATCTTACGTTTGGTTGTGTAGGAGTTTGAGGAGGATTATGTTGATTGTAAATCATGCATAATACACAATCTATTGAAAGAATAAGAAACAATGACAAGAAAGAAATTAAATAAAACATTTTTTATTAAATAAATTATTAAATAAAATAACACAACAGAAAATGAAATGCGGGAATGAAAAACTGACACAAGTTTGAAACTAAGACAAAAATGCAGAGAAAAATGTATCCATGAACAGATTAACGAAACAGACAGTTCGTAGGTTACCGATTAAAATTTATACTAACAAAAAGACATTGTGAAAGTTACTACATCATTCCACAATACTGAAGGAAAGAAGCTGTGAGCATAGGTTCACAGTATTGCACAAAGAGAGGTATATTCGAGAATATATCAGTTTGATTTCGATTCGACCTGTGTAGAACAAAGCCGCGATTCTCGGTTCCCAACTTAGAACCGGAAAATAATTTTTCACGCAGTAAGAGTTCAGCATCATTTTATAGTCAACGAAAGAATTCTTCTAAATGATGCCAAGCAAATATATCTTCAATAAATATTGTCAATAGTTTGTTTTCGTTTTGTTAAAAGAAAGGCAAGCCAAAAAGTATCGGTTCCGAGAAAAAAGAACCGTTTAAGAAACCGCGGTTCTGGTTCCATTGTCAGAATCGGTAGCGCGATTCCAATCCCGGATGAAGAACCGAAAAGAAGAGAACCTCGATTCCGGTTCTTCACGAGAACCGACACACCGAACATCCGAACATCTTAAAACATCGATAAATGGTAATTGATTATTTTTCTCGATCGAATGTCGTTTTACTATTCGAATCTTCAATTAATTCTTTTATTTGATTTTCAGTTAACTCTGAAATGTGGAGCCCATTATCAACAAATCGCGCAAAATAGGCAAATGGAAAACGTGCCTTGTCCCAATATTTTTCTATGAAATCGCTAACTTAGCAAATCAGGCAAATTATTTTTCGTCCGGTTTGGAAGGAAACAGTATACATATTCTGGTCGGTTTTTGCACGTAGATTCCGAATCCGGCGTCTGTTTTTTGGTGCCTCTAGTCCTCGAAGCATAGATGAAAAATTGGTTTTACGTGAAAATTAACGCCTTTTATTGCTTCCTCTCTTTTTTTTTTCGTTCTGAATATATATGTTTTTCTTTCCATTTTCCCTTTTCGTATTTTATCGTGTGAACGAACAGAAAGAGGAAAAGAATATCCATCTAAGCTTGTATCAAGCACCGCTGTTACTTCAGTTCAGTATACTTGTTCAAAATAGAGCAGATATAAAATTTTATTAAATCCGAGAGACAAAAGGAAGACTGATAATAAAAAACGCTACAATTACTTGTATAGAAATCATTTGTACGCTCTCGCGGGGCACAAAAAGTACATTGTTAACTCCTTTTCGTAGTAGGCAACGTCGTTAAATCAGCACCTTGAACAGATGGAAAAGTCTGAACAGAACGGCCTGATGTTTAGATGTCAAGTCGCTAGCCTGAGAGGAAAAACGTTAAATGCATGTACGTTTGTGGCTCCGCACTTTGCGTGCAAAAAATGATTTGCATATTATTGTTCTTTTCTGCTCAATCGCGTTTTATTACGAATGCCTGTCAGTGCACGATTATAAACTGCAATTATTATTGATGTTTTTTATTTAGTACAGGAGTATCGTACTAATACATATATTAGGACCACATAATCTTAAATTGTTTCCGATATAAAATACAGTTACTCGTTGTACTATTGCAAATAAGATTCTCCCCTTTCTTACGCTTCCTTTTCTGCCTATAGATATATATAACAGACAGAAGAGAAGAGAAGAATATAACTACTTCATCTTATATCTAGAAGATTTATTCTATAGCACGTACAAACTATAGTCTCGATTAAAGTAGTATTTTGGAATTCCTGAGCCGCACAGATATTCTATCGTCTTTGAATTCTTTGTTAGTTTACTTTGTGTAATTTTAGCTTTCTCCCGTCAGGAGTAATACTCGAAAGAGGCACTCTTTATGTGATGTAATTTACTTTGTCAGGATATTGAGTAAGCTCATATTGGATATTATCTTTCTTAACCATAAGCTGAATGAAGATTTCGACGAAAAAACAAAAGTTGTTCATTTATTAAATGACAGTTTAATAAACAAATGGACTTTTGTTTGTTGAATCGTCAATGACGATCAAATTTTATATACAAATTTTACCGTTTTTGACATGTAAGAAGTATATTACAATGGAGAAATCACAAAACTTATTCAAAAAACTTCGTCACCTATTTTATACATAAAGTAATAGAACATCCGAAGATCAGAATAAAACACATATAGACAAAGTGATAAAGAGTGAAGACTTTTCAAAAATCTGTATATAAAATGAGCAATGCTAGACTTACATCCGAATTTCATATCTTAACAAAGCAGAAATAGATTCTCTAAATATAATACTCGGATTCAATATCAAAAATAGTCTATACAAGAATATTTTCATCGAATTTGACGTGTACAATACAACGAGAATGCCTTAGATACGAAAACAAATCATAATAGTAGGAAAAAGTTGAATAACGAAATTTTCTTAGATGTAATAGATGTGCTAAATCACTTGTACGCAAGTGATGCGTAACGGCAATGTTGTATTTCTCAAATGCGATGAAGTTATTGTATGGAGATCTGCTGTTTAAAAGTCCCCACCGTTTCAGTGACTCGATATCTCTGACCCATCTTTGTACTTGTTCATTGCATCCACCATCGTACTGGATTAAGGCGGTTTAGTATTTTATCAATCATTTGTTTTTCCAGAGTTTCTGTCATGTTTGTTGTATAATATTGTTGAGTAAAAAAGCTTAAAATTAGATAGATGAAAATTGATATTGACAACCCTTGCGGGTGTCAGTAAGGAGATCATTTGATATTTAAGTAACCCAATCTGCAAAGATCACTTATACTCTCTAAAAAAAATGGTTCCTAACGAAACCGTTTTCTGCTTGAGGTTTCGAATTCGTTTCAAATATAAAAACCGTTTGGTCTACGAAACCTAAAATGGTTTGGCTAAAACCTATTAAATCCTAAATTGTTCTGTAATGACCTACGAAACCTTAAATAGTTTCGCCAATTTATGCGAAACCTGAACGTGGTTTCGTACAAAACTGCAAAAAGTAATGAGTTTCGTACGGAACCTTACGAAACCACGTTCAGGTTTTGCATAAATTGGCGAAACTATTTAAGGTTTCGTAGGTCATTACAGAACGATTTAGGGTTTAATAGGTTTTAGCCAAACCATTTTAGGTTTCGTAGACCAAAAGGTTTCTATATTTGAAACGAATTCGACACCTTGAGCAGAAAAGGGTTTCGTTAGGAACCTTTTTTTTTAGAGAGTACGGTCTACCGCAATGTTAAACTTCTTGGAACTCACCTGCTTGGTGAAACTATCTTTCGATTGAGTGCTCATCATGACTGGAAATTTCAGGACTTCATCAAATTATCATATTAAATCGCTGAAAAGTCATACTAATCGATCAAATTACAACACAAGCGTAAACGAACAACCGATTCACTTCACGTTAAAATGAATTCGGATGAATGCAAAATCATTATTGAAAATAGCATCAGGTTGACTCTCGATGACGCTGACACTATCTATTAAAGACTATCTAGACGTGATCGCTTGAAGTTTTCAGAGCTATCTGGTGGTATTGATAAGGCAGAATGGTTCGCTATTAGAGGGATTGGATACAAACGAATTTTAAATAGCATTAATCATACTTGAATAACAATTTAACAATTAAGTTTGATTCGTTTTTGTTCAGCACCAGATATGTCACAAAACTCATACAGTATTGAGGACTTAACACAGAATTATACTAGTATTCAGTGGTATTGGTATTGACAGGAGTTAATATTGACATGTATTGGTATTGATGAGATTGGTACAGTTATATCCTACTTTTTTCTCGAAACAAAGAGCATTACAAGGAATCAACCGTTTTTTACAAACCTTCACCGAAGGTTTCCGAGACCGAGGAATTCAAATTAACGATCGCTTTCTCGAAATTTTGAACGTGATTTTTTTCGTCAAGAGAGGGTTTCTAACGAAGATACCGACTTTTCATCACGTTATTGAACTTATCCCGCTTCCGGAGGTTGAAACGTGATATAACATTATACTTTTCTCAAAAAAGTTTTTTCTTGGTGAGAAAAATCAAGCTGAAAATTTTGGAAATCGGACTTCAGGTTCAGATTCCCTGACCACGATCACCTTCAGTTATTTTCAGCATTATAAAAAATTGTTATTTCCTTAAAAGACCCTTTCCTTAGTGAGACAAATCATGTTGCCTGATAAAAAATAGACATACCATAGTATTTTCTTCATGTAAATCACTTTATCACTTAACATTAATGAATTAGCTATCAACAGAAAAACTTAATATTAAGTATTAAGTGAAATCATTTGGCTGTTGTCTAAAGGGCTGGGGCAAAAAGTTTTTGTAGTGCCCCCATGAACAAAAAAAACCAAATCAAACACACTTCTCTATTCTTCATCGGAACCTGTGATCATTCAAAAGTTAGTCTTTAAACTCTTTCCTTGTCTTACATGTTATGGTTTGTTCCATGTGTGTGCGCTTCAACAAGCAAGATGCGCAATTTCTTCTTTGTAAATACAATGGGCAAACAACGACGTGTTTGATTTTTCTCGGAAAACAATACGTTTTCTTTCAATCTCGGTGATTTGAATGAGAAGACGGAAGAGTAATGACAAAAAAATACAATGCATAAGTAATGAAAAGATGACTACGTCAGTAAGAAGCACGATCTTTTCATTTCAATGTGTATATGGCAATGATGGAGAGTATCGTAGGTGAAATAAAGCCCAAACCATTCGTTGAACAACGTCGTCGGTCGATTATTATCGATTATCTTCTTTCAACCTCAACACATGGGTTACGAGGTGTTGGTCGTGCCTATTCTACCTGTAATCGTTTCTTCTGGGTCGGCATATTCACAATCGCTTCCAGCCTCATGCTCTATTTTGTCGTATCATCGGTTCGTCAATACTTTACCTACGCTACACAGACAAGCGTTGAAATTCGTCTCGATCGTAAAATGCCCTTTCCTGCCGTTACCATTTGCAACGCGAATCCGTATCGACTCGATACGATGAATGCATCACTTGTAGCATTCTTATATCGGCAATTATTGTCCAATATAACATTCAATCAGAACTTACTCAATCCGCTTGCTATACCGCTCGTTGTCGATTTATTCAATCGTAATCAAACAGAAGAACTCTGGTCAATTGGATTTCAATTGAGTGACATTTTGCTTGGTTGTGTGTACAATGGCATTGACTGTTCCAATTCATTCACGCGTTCTCTCACCTCGGCCCTCGGCAATTGTTTTACATTCAATTGGCAAACATCAACGCCATTCTTTACGCTAGCCGATCTCGGTAATACTCTTCTTTTGAGAGAAGGTCTCCAAATGATATTTTATGTCCCACGCGAAACTAATTTTCCTGTTGAATATTTCAATATCGGTCTCAACGTATTGTTGCATGATAATGACGAATTTCCATTGTCTATCGAGAAAGGTCTCTTTCTTGCGCCTGGCTTATCTTATTTGATAACTTATCGAAAGAGTACAGAAACATTTTTGCCATCCCCATATAGTCAATGCACATCCGACGTGAGTAGTGATTTGCGTGCTCTTTATAAGACAACATTTGCCGATAATAACGCGTCAGATTCGGTTGTCTATTCGGAATCGGCGTGTCACGAGCTGTGTGAACAAGCCTATATCTTTTCACAATGTTCATGCATTCTTCCAATACCATTCTTCACACGAAAGATGCTCACACTTGATAGGAATCTCATATCTGTCAAAACTTGCAATCCAATTACAAATGAATTTTTATGTGCGTTTACTGCCAAACAACAATTGGCAGCCAGTGATCAATTACAAACCGCATGGTGTTCTTATTGTACTTCTCAATGTAAATATACCTATTTTACGAGTGATCTCAGTTCACAAGCGGCTCCGTCTGAAACGGAAAAAGCAATCTTGGCTGCAGTACTACTAAATGCAAGTAATACGACTACCGTCCTGCTGCCCAACGATTTTGCCCAACGGTTCGACTACTATATGGATCGAAACTATTTAAGAATAGAAGTTGCATGCGGCAGTAAGTATGTTACAGAGTACAAACAAGTAGCTACGCTGCCACTCATCGATATGTTTGCTTCCATCGGCGGACAAACAGGCCTGTAAGTGAACTTTACTTTTCAACTTTAAATTTATGCGACTTATCAAACTATTTTCTTTAAACACGCCTAGATGGATCGGTCTGAGCGTATTGAGTGCGGTCGAACTGGGCGAACTTACCTTCCGACTTGTGTACAAACGCATTGTACTTTGGAAAAATCAACGAAGCACTCGTGTCACAGCGGTCGTTCGCTTCAGTAAGCAATAACAGTTAAAAGCAGCTCTTATTTTACGAGTACATGTCAAAACATTTTCTTCTGTCATTGATGTGCTTGGGTAAATGTCTGTATATCTGTATATCTGCGTTGTGCTTGCTGCATTATGAATCGGTTAAATTTTGTATTCGATGGATGGTGATCAAGCTAGCCCGCTTAGCTATCCATAAGGCTTATGTCAATTGGATTTGGACTTGTCGGCCGTCATTGGTATCTAGGACAAGCGATCATGATAGTTCTCGATTTGGCGAGGCGGTACAGTCTGCCACCCACTGTTTTCATCACATACCATGCCACCATAGGTCATTTCCTGTGGTTTACACGATTTGCTGTCCGTTGATTTTTTTTCTCGAAAAAATATAATTTCGCTGCCGAGAATTTACTGTCCGTTGATTATTCGAACGAATACAAATGAGCAAATGAGTATTCATCGACAACCAGTGTATCGTTAGAACAAACGCACCATCACCCTCACCGTCATTTTTGGAGGAGGCTTCTATTAAGAGAGGGTCCACTAATGGGTCGAGTAAGCGCGTACTTCCGAAAACTTTTACCACTTCATTTTATTAGTGGAATCGATGGTCTATGGCTTGAAACTACTAAACCCAAAATATTAGCTCGATTGATCATATAACAAAAAGGTTATGAGAGCCATCCTGACGACTACTCAGTGATTTAGTCAAAATTGGTACTCTTTAGTTCAATATCGCATTGAACGCTCTACAAAACTGGTTATACGACAGACTTAAATCAAGGGTTCAGATAGCACTTTTCATCAAAATACTGAAATGTGGTCATCTATCAAAAACCAATATTTTGTGAGATAACTTCTCAAGGTTAGTTTGCTCCAGAAATTTGGATCGTGCATCGGATAGAGCACTCAAAAAGCTACAAAACCAGCCTAAAATGAAAAAAATTCAAGTCGTTAAAAAACGTTTTTAAGCCTTTTTATGTCAAAAAATCGTGAAAAATGCTGTTTTTCGCTCAATTTCCGAGTTTTTTGTGTGCTCTACATACTGGTTGAGTTAAAATTAATGTAATATTTGAAATCAGCATCGAAAACTGAGTCGACTTATATGAATTCATACGTATAAAAAGCTTATCAGTGGGGAGCCCATCAAGGAGACCGATTCATCGACAGCGTTGCAAGAAAAATGCACTTCGATCGAAATATACCACAACGACACGTCTAATTGGTCTAGAATCACAAGTTCAAAATCCTTATTGATCGAGAATTATGACGGTATACTGTACTTTGTAGTGCATATTGAATTCTAGGTGGTTGCAAAGACGGACAGACTAACATTTTTGCGCGATAGAAACTTTTTTTAACAACATAAGGAGTCAATTTCGATGAGCTACTGGGTGACCTAGAGACTCTTGAGTCTGACAGATTGCTCATTTGAAATCACCGCCTCAGATGACTTCCAAAAGTCTGTTTATATCTGATACGGTAAGGTCATCGAGGGACGACTAGGGTACCGAGCTCAATAGACTTCAGGTTCCTAATGTGCTTCCTCCGATCATTCAGTGACATTCGTTGTCCCCAAAACTCGATTTCTATTGGTTTCCGGTCAACTAATAGGATTTCGAGACAGGTGGACATCGGATTCGAACCACCCTCGTAAACCTCTGGTGACATGTCTTCCGTTTGATCACAGAGTGCTTTTAAATAATTCTCCTATACTACTGAATGCTGCAACCCGATTGGTTGGACACATAGATGGACGTTTTCTAGGCGAAGGATCCATGCTTTCTAGAAAAGAAATAGCCCTCGACCTTCCTCTTGATGAAAGAAGAGTTCGTGCAAATGAAATAAATTTGAAGAAATCGATGCTCTTCATTCGAAAGTGGTAGCAGGGATCCCACACAATGGTAAACTTGACCCTGAACCTTGAAGGTAGGCATGAAACCTGGCTCGCATACTTCATATGTCGCTCCAAATTGTCGGGCGATTATCCGGAAGTCGCCGTCGCCGCGGATTCTTATATGTTAAAGTGTAAACGTGCATAATTGAGGATAAGAGTGGAGCACCTCTTCACCCACTTCACTTTCACTCCTTCACCTTCACCCTTACTCGCCGCGAGTTCGTATATGTTAAGGTGTTAAAGCTTCTGCCCACCAGGGCTCTTCGTTTTGGTGGCATTTCGCAGTGTTTCTAATGTAAGTAGGATACGTAGAAATACTCCTTAAGAAAAGTGTTTTTAACGCTTTCGGGACCGGTTTAATTTTTATATATACAGTACTGTTCAAACGTTTAAGGTCTTTTTTATTTTTGCAGTATCTCGGCTTCCCTGACAGACAGAGACTTCATCCTTTCGTCAAAAGAAAGCTGTCACTAAACTCTACGATATGTGAAAATATCGTTAAGTTTCAACTTATTTTGGTGGAATTAGGTAGAAAACAGTATTTTTCCTAAAAAACGGAAAAAACGCATCTTCAGTATTTCGTTTTTCCTACCCAAGAGATTTTCGACAAAAAAATTGAAATGGCAATGTCTCGATAGAGAATTTCAAGAGCTATCCACTGACAAAAACATTTTTGACTTTCGATTCTGTCTTCGTACTCAAAACCCTCTTTTACTGAGAAGGACCGAAATTTTCGGAAAAACTTAGATTTCTAACTCAGAACTAAATATTATGCAAATGTATTATACATCAAAAGATAGAGCGTCAAAAACTGCACAAGATGATGTATTTGAAATTTGATTATGATCGAATTTTGAGGGATGTTTCTTCAAAAGAAAGTTTTGGAAAACACGACTTATTCCGATTTTTGACGTTTTAATGACGTCTTAAAGGGCCACCGGTCCCGGAAGGGTTAACAAAATTACCTTAGAAATTTGCTCTTGATGTCAATCTAACCACTCTCTAAAAAAAATGATTTATTACAAAACTTGAAAGGGTATAGAGAATTGCAACCATTTCTATACCCTTTTAAGTTTCGTACGAACTTAGGTTCCGGCGTTCAGCTACGAAATCTCTATTTTTTTATTGACAAAAAAGGTTTCGTATTAAACCCTAACAAAAGAGGTTTCGTACAAACTTGATGATCATATTTCGGCTACCTCTCAATTTCCTCGATCAGACCTTCTGTAATTATGGTGCTTAGCTAGCCGATTTTATGTAGTTTTGAAAGCTCTCCCTTGCGGACTGTATATCGATAGTAACTGCAAGTATATTACAGACAGATTTTTCCATTTAATCTCTACAATCTATGCAGAAAAATCAATATTTAATTGGAATTATTTATACAAAATTGATACGTGTAATTTCGTAGGCTTCAATGAACGTGGTACCGGAGCTGGACAAGTCAAGTCAGACTTGACGTGGGAAAAGGTTTTACCAGTCTTCTGACTGACTACTAATTTTGTCTGTCTCTTAAGTCATTTTAAAAGTGCATTCTTTTAATACAGAGAAATGATATTAAAGATCTAAGTAGAGTCATTTTCCATGCAGAGCTGGGCAAGTTAAGACAAAAACGCCTCTATTCCAAGTCAATTCAGACTTGGCTGACTTGAAGAATCTTTTCGTTAACTGAGACTTGCAAAAATCCTGATCTGTCCAGCTCTGCGTGGTACAAAAGCAGGGAAAAAAACGAGCTTCGAATAAATGCTAGTATATGCTTACAATAATGGTACAGAACGTCTGAAGTCCGATATTGATATTAACTGCAGAGAGCGACATTAAATACATACAAAAAGAGAGTGAATGAATACGACACACAATGAGAGAGAGATGAATTATGGTTGGAAGAGAGTGGAAGTGATTAGCTAGTGGAAGAATAGGTCTTATTTCGTTACACACTCGGAGTCATTGTGCTCGGTTGTGCATCAGATTTAGATCAGTTGTAAATAAAAAAGAAGCAACTCTATTTCTTTTTTCTACACTCAGTTTGTTATACTAATCTAATAATTCAGTTTGGAAACTTGCCAGCTTAGCTATTTAACCGAATTTCTATAACCCAATACTCTCAGTTGATAGAGCCAGCCAACCAGACATCAAGTAGCCCATCATACTAAATTCTTATTCACATGTGATGAGTGAATTATGAAAGATCAGCAAATGATAAAACTTGAAGTATTATTAATACTTCAAGTTGCTTGCCTCAAGTGCTTTATTATGTTTGTTAAACATAATAAAATAAGTACACTCAGCTATGCAAAAAAGACACATGGCTTTCACAAAGAAGATGTTCCTCAATCCTTAACCGTTGTTGAACTTTTTTAGAGGTGTGAACATTTCTAAACTTGGTTTAACTAACCGAGGAAGGAATGATATGGGAAGACAGTAGATTTAACTTTCCCCGATGAAGTAGGCTATAGTTCATGCAAAAAGCAAAAAAATAAAATAGTCATCTTTCACATTCTGTCATTTATTGGTTTCAGTATTAGTCTAATCACAGCAGAGAAAAAACAGCTCCATCTAATGGTATTCACATAAATCGCGTGTTTCAAATAGACAACGTCTTTTCGATAACCATCTTAAGACTAATAAATATCTGCTGCTAATTGTTTATTGGTTTTTCAACATATTCTTCTTTCATCGAAGAAGTGTTTAATGCGATACGAAACTCGTAAGGTTTTGTGAAATTTCTACTAAACCTTTAATGCTACGAAACCACTTCGCCAGTTTCGTATACTCTTTACAAAACCTTGTAGAAAAATATTTTGTTTTGAGGTTTCGTACCGTCTAACAAACCCTTTGAATTTCGAAATTTCACTACAAAACCATTAAAAGTTTCGAAAAAATACACGAAACCTTAATGGTTTAGTATGGAGCCTCTTTTTTA